AGAGTAGCCAATATTGGGGGATAGGGGATATAGGTGTAATAGCCTTTTTATAGAAAGGAAAAGCAGGAGTTTAGTTTTAGATGTGTTGAATTTAAGCTGTCCATTAGATATCTAAGAGCACTGTACTATAGGCAGTTGGATATACAAGTCTGGAGTTGAGGAAAGAGGTCTACATATTTATACTTAGATATAACTATGGAAGTCATCCAAATGTTTATATAATTTATAACCACTAGACTGACTGAGATCACTAAGGGAGTGAGTATAGACAGAGGATTATGGACACTCCAACATTAAAAATATTGAGAGAACAGGAGTCAGAAAAATTATGCAGAACTTGAAAATAGGCAAAAGAAATTGCTAAGTGTTCTTTCCGTGCAGAACCAGGCTTGACTTTCTTTTGACTAGGCTATTTTACAACTCTATAGGGTCAAAGATTTCTTGCAGATTTTTGTCTAGTAGAAATGTAAATAGTTTGTTTTGTTTGGTGGCAGAGATAACCCCAAAGGTAACAATTTTGTATCTAACTGAAAAATCTTATCCTAATATTCCTTTGCTTATGTGGGTGTTTGTAGCTTCTCAAATGCTCTTTAGACCAGCTTTAACATCTTACTGGTTTCCTCATTAATTAATGAATTAAATAAAATCTTTGACATGGGTTCACATTATATTTGCCTGAGGGTCATGAATATTTAACCTTTTGAAAACTATACTGTAGCAGGGGAGGAGGAACCAGCTTAATTTAAAAAATCCAGGTCACACAATTTGTTCGTTTATAATTGAATTTTCTTAATTCCCTAACCCTATGATTCCATTGCTACATTTCTTGTGAAATAACAAATGTTGGCAAGAATGTGGAGAAAAGGAAACCCTTGCACACTGTTGGTAGGAATGTAAATTAGTGTAGCCACTGTGGAAAACAGCATGGAATTTTCTCAAAACACTAAAAATAGAACTACCATATGACCCAGCAATTCCACTCCTGGGTATATATCCAAAAAAACCAAAAACACTAATTTGAAAAGATACATACACCCCAATGTTCATAGCAGCATTATATTCAACACAATAGCCAAGATATGGAAGCAACCTAAATGTCCATCAACAGATGAGTAGATAAAGATGTAATATATATATATACAGGGGAATACTACTCAGCCACAAAAAAGAATGAAGTTTTGCCATTTCCAACAACTTGGATGAACTTGGAGGGTATTATGCTAAGTGAAATAAGTCAGACAGGGAAAGACAGATACTGTATGATATAACTTATATGTGGAATCTAAAAAATACAACAATAGTGAACAAAAAAGAAACAAAAAAATAAATAAGTATATAAGCAACAGCAAATTTGTTGATAAATTCCTTTTGTTTGGTCTCAATGTACAGAATGCACACAAATACTTTGAAATTTTAGTAATGTGTTACAGCATCAGAAATGGGTCAAAACTGTGATCTGATGTTTGCAATTCTTATATTTTTGTGTTTTAAAATATCAATTGGTTAATTTTGATATTTTTTGTTTCTCAATGACAATCAAAAGAGGAATTTTTACACTACTCCATGCAGGCACTTCTCAAAAATAACAATAAAATATTACTGTGAATAGTTTAGTCCCAGTAAATAAAAAATAAACGATATAATTTAATAATTTATTTTCACTCATAAACTGGTTTCTAATATATTAGAGACAATTACAATGCATCATATAAAAATTTTTATCAGATGAATATAAATCATGCATCTGATGATGCAAATTTGCCAAAATTAACTTCATAATAGTCAAAACATCAAGGTACCCAGAATTGCTCTGTTGGGTAGTAAAACAACTGTGTAACTGAATCATTATAACGTTTATCTGGTTTTCATTTACTGGCATGTACTGTCACTTGATGTGCTCCAGTGGGCTTTCAACTGTGTAGTTAAGGGAAACATTTCAATAATTATTTTATTTTGTATAATGCCCTTTTAAGTGGAAATAGAAATATTTGCTATTTTGCCTTTATGAGACAAAATTCCTTTGAGTACAATCATAAAAACCCTGTGGGGTAAAAATCTCCCAGTGAGGAAGTACTGCTTTAGCAATAATTTTCAAGTTATATTGTTGAGACACATCAGTGGATCATGAGGTCAAATAACAGGATTATAAAGGAGCAACTTATATAATAAAGTTGAATGGAATAGAACAGAACAGAATAGACAACATCAAGTTGCATTGTAGGGTAAGTATTGTTTTGTAAAACTTGTTTTACATATGTATATGTGAATATGTATAGATGCTGGATCATAATGTAAAGTATATGTAAAATGTATTTCTGTAGGTTACAAGTTTAAAAATTTGAAGTAGAGATGATCAGAAACAATAAAATAGGAGGATAAAATGGGAAGAGAAGAATGGGGATAAGGAAATTTTTTTCAGGGAGATTAGAATAACAAATTTGTAAAAATTAGGTACTAATCCAAATTATATCCGTTTAAGCCAATGTAATGTACACTATTAAACTGAATTCTTAAACTACATTAGAATATTTAAAAGTGTAGCTTAATAAATAGCTTCCCAGATGTGATTGCTCTGACTCTTGGTACCAGATACCAAGAGGTTCAGTTGTCCAGAAGCTCATCTCTGAAAAGATGTGGTAACAAAAAGGAAGAGTCATGGGAGAACAAAGTGCTTGAAGGAATAATTGAACAGGAATATAACAGGAACCAAAGACATTAGGATCCAGCACATTAATATGAAGAGTTATTTTTTTTTAATTAAAACATTGCAAAGGGCTTCCCTGGTGGCGCAGTGGTTGAGAATCTGCCTGCCAATGCAGGGGACACGGGTTCAAGCCCTGGTCTGGCAGGATCCCACATGCCGCGGAGCAACTGGGCCCGTGAGCCACAACTACTGAGCCTGCACATCTGGAGCCTGTGCTCCACAACAAGAGAGGCCGCAACAGAGACAGGCTCGCGCACCGCGATGAAAAGTGGCCCCCGCTTGCCACAACTAGAGAAAGCCCTCGCACAGAAACGAAGACCCAGCACAGCCAAAAATAAATAAATAAAGTTATTAAAAAAAAAAAACTGCAAAAGTTCCATTTTCTTAGAAGACTCTGGAAAGTAGAAACCCTACTGAAATTTTTTAAAAGGCCAAATAATAAGTTGTTCAGATCAACCTTTCAATTAAGAATAAAATATTTCTTAGGATGCCTTTCTAAAAACCACACTGAGATACAAACTAATGAAAGTTACACAATTGTGAGAACTCATACAAAATAAAATATTGGGGAAGATAATATGGTCTATTTTGTGTAGGTTTTTAAAATCCTTTTGAAGGTGAAAAAAAAAAAAAGGTACATTTACTGAATGTGCTGAGTTATAGAAGACATCTGCCTCAAATCTATCCCTCTTACTTTTGAGGACCTACCCTTCCCACTATCCCTACTGAAGAAATAGGTGCTAGTTTTGGGTGATTCATCAGTGAATCGCATCCCATTCTCCTGCTTACATTGACTGGGATGATAAGAAATCCAGTGAGAATCAATGAGTTTTCTGTTAGGCCCATTTGAAAATATACAACCTCTCTCTTGAGCTAAGGCATAGTGTGCACAAGGCTGTGATAGCTGGGACTGTTGCATCCAATTTGCTAACATGAGAGGAGAGCCCAGATCTGCGAAGGGATCACAGGATGGAATCTGAGGATGGGACTGGTAATGCATAAAGGAGAGTGGAGAAACCATATCATCAGTAAGTAAAACCTCATCTGAAGGTTGTCATAACTCTGGTCTTTTCAACTACGTGTGGCACGACAGTTTTCTGTTGTTAAAGCCAATTATCAGAGTTTTCTCTCACTTGGAACAATCGGTTCTAACAGACACGTCATCTACGTGCGGGGCACAACACAATCTCCAAATTAGTCTTCTCAGCAGCCCTTCATGGCAGTGCTGTCATCATCCCCGTTTTAGATATGAAAAAGACAGAGGCTTAAAATAATTAAGTGACGTCCAAAGTCACCCAGCCAGGAAGTCCTGGAACCACTGACTTTATATTGAAAATATTCATATTAGGTTCAATACTTTCTGAAAGTAAAGTCGTAGATTATTATTTTCTTACGCTTATATTGCCTTTTAAAAAATAGAACTTGCCGAATTAAGTTGAAAAGTAGTTATTGTGAGCCTAGGAGTGTTCTCATTGAGAAGAGAGAGAAAAGCTATCATTCCGGATCTTTCTTTCCACAAACATTTTTAACTCCTAAAACACACAGGCACTGTTGAAATGAGAAGCATATATCTTATCCAAGTTTCTTTAGCGTGTAAGTAAATCCATTATACCAGCCAAAGCAACACAAGGGTGTGTATTATCACAATATCAGGGGTTTTCATGGAAACCAAGGAAGCAACAGAAGCCTGACCCCTCATAAGGACGTGCGGTCAAGGACTGAAAACCCTCAGGTTCCCCAGCAGCTATTCTGCCTCCATCTCTGCTTCCCACTGGCTCGCTGCTTCATTCTTCCCTCTTTCCAGATGGGATGCCCTGCTACGACTGCCTGTATATAGACAACTTCTGAATACAAAAGTCATTTTCAGGGACCCCACAGAGAAGGACTAGATGCTTTTGATCCAAATTTGAAATTCCCTAAACAGAAAGCATCTTTGGCTAAGCATGAATCCAGTGTTGACCGCTTATGATCAAATCAGTGTGGCCATGGGAAGAATCAGATAGGACAAATATACCTGTTTATAACCCTCCCCAGTGGCTGAGGCAGGAGGGATCCCAGAGAATAGGGAGATTGACTACATAGAAACTCAAAAAAAACTGTTCAACTATCACACAGCAGCAAGACAAAGTCAGTGCTAAATTTAGAGTACATAGAAGTTCAGGGGAGAGGGGGTTCTGTGGGGCTGCTAGGAGAGGCTTTGAGTCCCTGGTGGAATTCTGACTCTGATCCAACTTCTGATCACCAACTTTGACTCAGCACCCGACTCCAATGTGTGGGGTTTTTTCCCCATATCACCAGCTGGGTGTCCTACAATTTAACTAGTTCTAACACTATCTACCTAGAGATGGTGTCAGATCCCACAGGTTAAAGGCTCAGCGGCGCACAACTACCCCAATCCCCTTCGAATGGCAATCGCAATTCCAGGCTGTCACCTGTGATTCAGAGGTTCCGACCACCTCCTCCTTGGGTTCAATTAATTTGCTAGAGCAACTCACAGAACTCAGAGAAATCTTTTACTTACTAGATTACCAGTTTATTATAAAAGGATAAAACTCAGGAACAGACGGATGGAAGAGATGCATAGGGCAAGGTATGGGGTAAGAGGTATGAAGCCTCCATGCTCTCTGATCATGCCATTCTCCCCAAATCTCCAAGAGTTCATCAGCCTGTAAGCTCTCTGAACCTCATCATCTTAGGTTTTGATAGAAGCTTCATCACATAGTCATGATTGATTAAATCGCTGGCTATTGGCCAGATACAACCTCATCTCCTCTCTCCAACCCAGAGGTGGGGTCGAGGATGGTGGATATGGGACTGGAACTTTCAACCCTCAGATCACATGTTTGTTTCTCTGGGCAACCAGCCCCCCTCCCTAGGTGCTTTCCAAAGGTCACCTCATTAACATAACAAAAGACAATTTTTATTGCTCTCACAACTGGGAAATTCCAAGGGTTTTAGGAGCTCTGTGCCAGAAATGGACAAAGACCAAATATGTAAATATTGGTAAATCACTATATCACAGACTTGAACTTGGCCTTGAGGGATTTTCAGAGAAGGAAAGGTAATCCAAACAGGGAGATCTGAAACCTGGACTCCTACAGAATGTGATCTGATGAATGAAAGGATCATATTTTGATAATATATCTAACAACAGAAACAGGCACTGAAAAAAAAAACTGGCATGTTAAAACTACCACTTTTTTGATATTCCCAAAGAAATTATAAGATTTATGCAGTGTCTCATAGAATCCTTCCAAAAGACAGATGATAAATGAAATAAATGAAAGTTTTATCACCACAACCAAAAAATATTTAGTCACTGATTAAATGATAATGAGTTTTTAAAATCCTATCTCCCCCTGCTTTTAAAGAACCTCACCTGCCAAATAAATCAATCTAAATTGCTCCATAACTTAAAGGTTTACTCAAAATGCTTGGTTTGTCTTTATTGCAGTCCACATAGTGCAAATATGAAAAAAAAAACTAATTTACTTAACGGAATGTCTATAATTGACTCAATCTAATGTATTTCTGAAAAATTAATGAAGCTACTTTTCCTCATGGCAGTAAGACAGATATTAAATAAAAACATCTCTCAAGAGTGAAGAGTAGGGACTTCCCTGGTGGCACAGTGGTTAAGAATCTGCCTGCCAGTGCAGGGGACACGGGTTCGAGCCCTGGTCCGGGAAGATCCCACATGCCGCGGAGCAACTAAGCCTGTGCACCACAACTACTGAGGTGTGCTGTGGAGACCATGAGCCACAACTACTGAGCCCATGTGCCACAGCTACTGAAGCCCACGTGCCTAGAGCCCATGCTCCGCAACAAGAGAAGCCACTGCAAATGAGAAGGCCACACACCACAATGAAAAGTAGCCCCCGCTAGCCTCAATTAGAGAAAGCCCGTGCGCAGCAAAGAAGACCCAACCAGCCAAAAGTGAATAAATACAGAAATTAAAAAAAAAAAAAGAAGAGTGAAGAGTAACCCAGTAACCTCTTCCTCATTATCAGCAAACACTTTATGAACACATACAAGTGGATATGGTCACTGGACCCACAGTCATCTCTACTGAATTAAAGTAGATTGTTTTCCCAAATGGAATAAAAATTGTAAAACTCATATAACAACCTTCATTTATGCTTTCTAGATCAAACATTCTAAAATGAGGTAGTAATATTCATAGTGTGATAAATTATTAAATGCCTTTTCCACCATTTTCTCTTTCTCTGATTCTCCCCCTTTCTCTGCCTTTCCACTATGTCACCCTTTCATTTAAAAAATCTAATCTTGGTGAATGCCAAATTAAGATCAATGGACATGACTATTAAAAATAAGAAAAAGTGAAGTTTATCGCTCCTCTTTCATCTAGCACCTACTACTGAGTGCCTCCTACATGTAACACATTGGCTACGTGCTGGAGACCCTATGTTGAATAATATGGATGGATTCCCTTGTCTCTTTCATTCTTTGGGGAGAAAGAGGTAAGTAATGCAATAAAATAAAATAAATGACATTATGCATTGGTCAAAGTCAACACAAATATAAACATTAATATAACCTATGTACTTCATTTATTAATATCATTACGTCAACTGTTACAAGTGTACCACTCTAATGCAAGATGCGCATCACAGGGGAAATTGTGTGGCGGTATTGGGTGAGGAGGGTGGGAGCAGGGGAAGAAGACATAATGGGGATTCTCTGTACTTCCTACTCAATCTTGCTGTAAACCTAAAATTGCTCTAAAAATTGTCCGTTAAAATAAAGTCAGCATTCTGCCAGTAGAAAATATAAGATAGAGATGTATGGGTGGCTAACAGTATCTATAATGGGTGAGGAAAATAACTATGTTCCTTTATGAACATGTTGAATTTGAGATATGAAGCATCCCATGAATATGTCAGTCATTGGCAGTTAGACGTGTGAATCTTACACTTAAAAAAAAAGATCTGGGCAAGATATATCAATTTGAGAGGCAAGGACTCAAGGACCTATGGAGATTAGTAAGATCTCCTAGGCAGAGAGCAGAGAGAGAGAGAGAGAGAGAAACAGAGACAGAGAGATACTGAGGACCAGGCTTGAAGAACCAACACATTTAGAGGCTGGACACGGAAGTGGTGATGTCAACAAAGTAGAATGAGGAGCAGAAAAAGATTTCAGGAAAATGTGGTGTCAGAGGGAACCCCCTGGTGGTCCAGTGCTTAGGACTCCATGCTCTTACTGCCGAAGGCCTGGGTTCAATTCCTGGTTGGGGAGCTAAGATCCCACAAGCCACATGGCGTGGCCAAAAATATAAAAACTAAAAATTAAAGAAAAATGGGACTTCCCTGGTGGCACAGTGGTTAAGAATCTGCCTGCCAATGCAGGGAAGACGGGTTCGATCCCTGGTCCGGGAAGATCCCACGTGCCACGGAGCAACTAAACCCGTGAGCCACAACTACTGAAGCCTGTGCACCTAGAGCCCGTGCTCCGCAACAAGAGAAGCCACCGCAATGAGGAGACCGTGCACCACAACAAAGAGTAGCCCCCGCTGGCGGCAACTAGAGAAAGCCTGCGCACAGCAACGAAGACCCAACGCAGCCAAATAAATAAATAAATTCATTTAAAAAACGTGATGTCAGAAAAGACAAGAGAGGAGAGTGTTTCGAGATGTGCTGAATGTGTTTTTTCTGAAAGATAAAGAAGATAGTCTTTTGGTAGACAACGTGATGACCTCAACAAAAGCTATTTCTGTAGATTGGTGAAGGAAGAAGTGGTTTGAACAGTGAAGGAGAAACAAAGAATTAAATAGAGAGCATTTATAGACATTAAGTATTTCCTATTTTTCTGTAAAGGGATTATTTTGTGTCAGCCCAATGGCTTGCATATAAACTTGCCTCACTCACACCAAAGGAGTAGAATGAAAGATCATTAAACTATTTGAACACATGTGTGCACACACAATTTCAATAAAACATACTGGTCCATTAAACAAGCTTATATGACTCCGAAAAAGGCACTGGCTCTCAGAGAGATGCAGCTCCAGTAACTGAGAGATCACTAACTAATCAGATCACATACGCCCTCTTACCCAGGTACTCTTAGCCAGGTTGCAATTTGGGAATTCAAAGAAAGCAGAATGTTTCCATATTTCTAGAGCTTAAATAATTCAGTTAAAATAAATCACTCTCCAGCCATCAATAAGTAATAAAACTTTATACATGTAATAGAGTAGAATAAAATCAAGCAAGATAAAATCTCAAAGTAAAAGATAAAAATATAGATAATGTAATAGAGTCTAGCAGACAAAAGGAGCAAGTTGAATAAGGTGCAAAGCACCAGCACTGCTAAGCACAGCCTCCCGCTGCCTCTCCCCTCTCACCCGCACACCACAGACACAAAGGTGAGCAGCGAGCGCCCTTTAAGACCAGGTGGCTGCAGAAAGGGGAAAGGCCACTGACACTGTTTTGCAAGCTGAGCTTCTACTGGAAAGAACACCTGACAGTTGAATTCTGGAGGGCTCTATTCTTAGGAAACTCCAACGACCACAAAATCCAACAAAAATTTCTTTGGGTAAACCCAAAAAGCATAAATAAAATTGAGTTTATAAGCAAAGGCCTTACTTGACATCATTTCAATTCCTCCTTGTTTTGCTTCAATGGTAAGGTAATTTACTAAGGTCAGGAGGTGAGAGTTGTATTTGGGGCAGGTTAGGATACAGGGACAATGGACAAATTTCCTGCTTCGTGTGAAGTATTCAGAAGGCTGTGTCAACCAAAACCAACGAGTGTGAGATGAGATGATTGGGTGGAAAGAAAATATTTGATGGGAACATTTGCTCTGAGGGCTACTTTGGAAGTATTCAAATATAACCATGTGTCAGAGATATTACAGAGTGTGTTCCTCTTAGAAGTGAAGGAGAGACATAGCTTAGTGAGATAGAACTATAATCTACCTAAAAGGCAGAAGATGAGAGTCTGGTTTCCACCACTTAGGTGTCTGATATTAGATGAATCATTTAAACTCTCTGAGCCTCATTTGTCTCATTTCTAAATAAAAATAATACCTTCTGCTTACCTGACACACAGACTTTGGTTTTGCATCTTTCCCTCCTTTTTTCCTGCATTATGTTGAATAAATAATTCTCTTATTTCCCACGGTTTTGCAATTATACTTTCTAATTTATTTTCTTAATTTTTAAAATGTAAGGTTAATTCTTTAACCTTAATATATTCAACTCAAAATTTAATTTAGAAAAAAAAGCAGTCTAAAAGAACTTGGACTGTTCCATCTTCATCCTTTCCACCTTTATGTTACTTCTGTATAGTGTTTTACTTCCATTTTGCTTTTAAATCCATCAAAATTGGCTGTTGCTGTTTCTCTGTTGTTGTTTTGGGTTTGTTTTTTTAATAAATACGTTAGTTTAAAAACATTTGTTTACCATTTCTTCATGGCTTTCACCTCTTCATTCTGGATTCTTTTGTTTTTCTTGCTGAGGAATATTATTTAAGTAGCTCAGTGAAAGTAAACATCTTAGTTTTTAAATGTCTGGAAATGTTTTTCTTTCACTCTTAACACTGAATGATAGTTTGGGGTACAGAATTCTGGGTTAACATTTTCCCTTAGCACTTTGAAGATACAATTTCATTGTCCTTCTGTATCAATTATCACTGATGGGAAGTCTGTTTTTATTCTGATTGACATCTTTGTAAGTTTTCTTTCTGTTCTCTCTGATAGTTTTATTATTATTATTTATTTATGGCTGCGTTGGGTCTTCATTGCTGTGCACGGGCTTTCTCTAGTTGCAGCGAGCGGGGGCTACTCTTTGTTGCGGTGCACAGGCTTCTCATCGCTGTGGCATCTCTTGTTGCGGAGCACAGGCTCTAAGAGCATGGGCTTCAGTAGTTGTGGCTCGCGGGCTCTAGGGCGCAGATTCAATAGTTGTGGCGCAAGGGCTTAGTTGCTCCACAGCATGTGGGATCTTCCCGGACCAGAGCTCGAACCAGTGTTCCCTGCATTGGCAGGAGGATTCTTAACCACTGTACCACCAGGGAAGTCCCCCTCTCTGACGGTTTTGAAGATATTCTGTAGTTTCACTGTAATGTACTTAGGTAAAGATTTGGTTTCTTCGTGCTGTTCAGAACTTAATGTACCTTTTAATACAAGCCTTAAGTTTTCTTGCAATTTGAGGAAATTCTCCAACACATCTCTTTAAATATTGCCTCTTCCAAATTCTCCTATTCTCTCCATTTGAATCCCACTTAAATTGGAATTTTTCATTTTATCTTCCACAGCTCAACCAGTCTTTCATACTTATATGGACAGATCCAGGTTTTGGGGACCTGCAACTTCCACAATCTGGGAGTCTTTTTTAAAAAAGAATACAAAGTATGAACAGAAAATTGAACATGAAGTGAATATTTATTTATAATGAAAAAAATAAATCACACAAATTATAAATCGAAACAAAGCAGACAAATACTACAAACATAATAAACTCTAGAAAAATATAATTTGTATATTAACTGCTGGAATACCTCCATAATAATTTTTTCTCCTTCATTTTTGGTTGCATATTCTTTTATGACAATGATTATGTAGTATCTTTTTCAGTTGAAGGAATAGAAGTATATTTTGGTCTGCTGTTCTCTAGTTTGATTCTTATTGTTGATAATTTGTTTTTAAGCAGTTTTCTTGTCGTGCCACAACTCATCATTAGTAGTATCTGTGTCTAGGATTGTTGTCAAATATGGGGAAAACTGCTAGCACGTTTCTTTCGTATATAAACTGGAAGACCACCTTCTGACTCCATATATATCAAATCTTGCTTCTTCTTAATTATCCTTACTGTCCCAGTGCCAGGGGCTAGAGGACCTTTTTCTGTCGTGAAATCATCTCTGGCCCTGTTTTTCGGTGACACGATCCTAGGTATTTTGGCACAGTGGTGGCAGGAGTAATCCTGGAACTAGGAATGCCTGCAGTAACTCAGCTACACAGAGAAGTTGCTGCAAACTACACAAGTGTATCCCACCAAACACAAGCCAAATATTCCCGAGTTAACTTTCCCAAAAATGTACATAACTACTCCAATGCTTCCCAACACGAGGAAAGTGTGAGAGAGGCTAATTGGAATGGAAAGATATAGCAGTATTAACCAATTGCAGTTTAAAATCTCACTTCTGCAAACTTTATACAAACATATACTAAAATGAACACATTGCTAAAGAGGGGCGTATTGTTGGAAGGGGCAAGGGCCTAGACATAGGCATCATTATTTCCTTATAAATCTGGTAAATCTGTCTCTACCTGTCCCATTTCTTTATTTCTTTCCACTGTATTCTGATTCCTTCAGCTTCTATTTTGTGTTTCATGAATTTTCTTTTCAGTGAAGTTAGTCTACCATTTATCTCATCTGTTGATTTTTCATTTCAATGCCTTTTTATTTCTGAAATTTTTATTCTGTTGTTTATCACATCTTCCTGTAATTAAAAAAAAATAATATCCTCTTCTTGTTTTATGTATTCAACTTCTTCTGAATCTCTGAGCATTTTAAAGACACATATTTTAACTTATTCTAAGTTTCTCTATTATCTATAATTCTTTGAGAGGAATGCTCCCAATTTATGTGCCAGCTAACAATCTCAGGGTGGTAGAGTGCCTTGAGTGTTTTGTAGTTTTTGACTGAGCGCTTATCATGGTGAGAGTCTTATGTGCCCTGGTTTAGGAAGGCATCCCCATGGGGCAGTTTCCCGTTTACCTTTATGAACAGAGCCCAGTTCTGGCACCCTGCCACGCAGGGTGCCTGCAGCCTCAACACCGTCTCT